AGTCCTGCTTGGACACTGGGGGTAGTTGCCCACTTGAAACTGGACTTCCTTTAATCCAGACTCTCAAGAGAAAAAAAAAGATGGATAAAACAAATTTTAATTTTGTCCCAAACATATATAGCTATAGGGTGGATGGAAAAAGTGGTATTTATTCAAAAGCTTCAAGAATAAGACAAGAGGAACACTCACACCCAAATTTGCATGGTTTAGTTTCTATAGTTAGAAAGACACACATGAAACCTTTAAGCCCTCAAACTTTAGTACAAAATTCAGTGCCAAATTCGCTAAATTTCCTATAAGAAATTAAATATTTTAAAATGCCTATTCTTCTCTATAAAACTTATATAATAGACCCTAAATAACAGACTGAATAAAGTTCTCAATTCTTATAAACTTACTACTATACTTTTGAGTATATCCTAAAGCATCATAAAATCGATGCCATTAGCTTTGTCACACACATGTACAGCCATGCGATTGTTTAGTGGAAGAAATGAAATTCACAGAAGTGCATCCATGCACATATGCACACACAAATACCATACACTTATTGAAGCAAAATACCTGTGGTAGTCTCTTTTGAACCAAGATTTCACCCTTGATTCAGTTAACTCAGGGTCTCATTAAAATAACTCACTATGGGTTTTAATCCATAATTTTCTTGATTTCCGGCAACACCAGCAAGTTGCTGTCAACTTCTGATTTTTTTTTCCTCCTACCTTTGCAGTTGACCACTCTCCAATGAGTCCTGCATTTTCCTTTCTTGTTTTTATTTTTTTAGTACAGATTTGTAGTATATAACATTTGCATTTCTTGTGGGGACTTGGTGTTTGACTGAGTTAATAATGGAGACCAGAATCTTAGGTGGGTATTGGTGGGTGGGAAAGGGGTTGCTCTTTTTCTTTGACTACTTCTCACACTGATCTAGGTTAATTCAAGGTTTTGCACCAGATCTCTACTTCAGGAGGTTTCCTCCACCATGGAGACTTCCTACGACCTCCACCGCCCCCTCCTGTCCCTGAGTGGCTTCACCACCTCTGCCCACTTCTTGCAGGAGGAGCCTGCTCCTTGGGGATCAGCTTGTTTCCTGGTTGGAGGATGTTTTCTTTTTTCTTCAGCCAAATGGTTTTCTCCGTTTGCACACTCTCCCTTGATCTCACGCACCCTTCTGTTCTTTTTCACCTGCTGTCTGTAGCTCACGACTTCCAAACATGTGCCCCAGGCCCATGCTGTCTCTGAGACTCAGGTGCTTGTCAACAACTGCAGTGTAGACCTGGGATTTCACAGTCAAACTTTCAGTGAGTAAAGAGTTTTTGCTTCACATAGACAAAGCATCACCTTGACAGGGTTTGTTTATCTAGACCTTTGTATTTGCAGAAGAAACCAAGAATTAAATAGCAAAGATCAGAAGGAAGGCAGAAAAGAGGAAGTAAAGGAAAGAAGGGAGGAAGGAATTAAAGAGGGAAGAGAGAGGGAGAGAGGGGTGGGAGGAGGGAGGGAGGGAGGAAGGAAGATCTGCAGTACAATGACCTATTTTTTTCTGTGTTCTTTCAGAGAGGAAAACTGACACTGAAATTGCAGGCATTTGGTGGCAGAGGAAGCCACAGATCCAGATGCAGACTTTATGATGAGGTTTCCTTGGGAAGGTGATTAAAATTCTTCCATTTTCAGTTTTCTTTTCCGTAAAGCAACAATGTTAACTTATGCAAAATTACAAAGCAAATATGAATGCACCTGCCCAGGCACCTGGCTCTTAGAAGACACCAAATCCCCCGGGTCACAGCACAGAGGGGCAAAAGAGTTCCTGACGTCACCTGGAGGGGGCACCTCAGGGCGCTGGAAACCTGGCTTCAAGCTGGAGGTAGCGCTGTAGCTCTAAGCCTTAAATGGCCATAAAGAAATATTAGGGGAAGAGATATAATTAAATGTGAGTGACATCTTTGTGGGTCCAAAATGTGAAGACTGTATTGCTTTGATTAGCTTAAAATAGTATCTTTTACCTGGGTGTACTTTAGCCACTTAGATATTATGACTACAAAATTATTTCTTTTATATGAAATTTCAAGCCTAAATATTATTAAACTGTTTTTAAAATTGGTGTTAACACATACAATTAAATAATTTTCATTTTTCCTTCACAACAGCACATATAACCGTTTGGATATTAATAGCTGACTGAAATTAGAATTAGAATATTGCCATGATTAGACCCTTCGATGTTTTTCTTTCCATCACTCTCCAGCTTTTAAAAGGGAATAATTTAAGAACAAATGATAGAAAAAGCTACCTTTCCAGTGGGTAGTGAGTGCGCCCGTCTCATTCTCTTTGAGATCTGTGCCACCAGGATTTGATAGTGGTGTAAAAGAGGACTGGGATGAAAACAAGATGCGCACGGGGCCTCCCTGGAGTGTGTGTCAGAGAGCCCTGGTGAAGAAGACACTGCTGCGTCCTCTGCTGGGCAGCCCCGGGACTCGAACTGTGACCGCAGCGCTGGGCTGTGAAGTGCGGTGAGTGCGGAGGGACTGGGAAGCATGCGGCACTGCTGGAATGACGGAAATGGTGGTCGTACCTAGCAACTCCAACTGTGGTCCGTATTGACTCTCTGGGACATCTCTCAGAAGGGGAAGTTTCCACCTCCTTTACAAAGAAAGGTCACCTCCTTTCAAATGAGAAGAAAATGAATCCATGGTGGGTCTTGGTGGTTTTGGTGGAGAGTTTTCACATTCCTGCTCTGGTTCTTGACTTTGACCATGTGGAAGCAAGACAGGAAGAAGGCTCTGGAGTCCACCTTTGCATGTCCCGGCCATCTTTCTGTCCACCCAGGCTCAGATAGCAATTAAACAGGAAGCTTCATGCCAGGGTCCTTGTGTGCCCAGAAAGGGAAGATGATGGAGCCACCTGTGACCTCAGGGAGAAGCTTGGGCAGGTGCTGTGGGCACAGTTTCTGGGTACTGCACACCTGGATAGGCATTCAGTACTGAAACTGGACAATGAATGAAACACTTCAAATGTATAATTTTCTTTGTCTGGAACCATAACTTAACATACAATGGAGTAAGAATTAGTTAAGAAACAAAAAGTACCAAACTGGAGAAGATTCATTTTTATTGTTTTTCCCTTTCTGGAAAGCTTTCTCTGAGTGTGATATTAAACTTAAGGCTTAGCAATATTAAATCCAGTTATGTAAATTGGAACTCTCTTGCCTAAGATGTTGAAATGCAGAAAGTCCTTGAGAAAAATGTCTGCATAGAAAGAACACAGGATCTGGAGCATGGCAGGGCAGTGTTGAGCTGATTTGTTTAGTGGGTTCACAGTCTCCCCGAGCCCACCTTTCTTCATATATGGATGAGGGATAACTTCCAGCAGGGCCTAAGACAGATTGCGTAAATACGGTGTCTGCAATGGAGTAAGCACTTCCTAATGCATTTCAGTTAGTATTGCTATTGTCAGAATTAAGCAAACTCCCAGCACTGGAGCGTGTAGTAGCAACATGGTCCACTTACTACTTTACTTATCAACAGTAAGGGAAATGTTAGTAGTGGGCACATATGTGGGCCCTGCTCCTGGTTTTGCTGCTGCTGAAGCACTGGTGCTATTTCCTGTTCTGCAGGGGTCACCCAGGCCCGTGATAGGTTAAATTACGAGAATAAGTACATAGAACCACAGCTGGTCCACTGTTAGACAGCTGCACAAGGAATTGTACTAAATGAAGCTCAGTCAACATGCGTAACATACCTTGTCTATCCTCAAGCTTCTGTCCATGTTCTTGGGGCTTCAAAACCTTGGCCAGATTAGCTCTGGCCTAGATAAATACACTTTCTCTTTGACTGCTGGCCACAGATGGTCAGGATCAGAGACTGTGGTATGTGCAGCATATGTATATACAGACAAATCTGAGATTTACAGGGAAAACTCGGTTCCATGCCCATCCTTGCGATATTCCCATCCCTGGGCTGAGCTCTCGCTTCTCTGTGGAGCAGCTGTAGAGCACGTGGGGAGCAGCGGCTCGCTGTGACTTGTGGTTCTGTGATGTGGGGTGATTCACACTCCTCATAGGCAGGGACTCATTCATGGAAGGAAAATGAAAAAGATTAATTCACAATCCTGGACACAGCAGGTCAGGACCTGTTTCTACACCTGACCCCAGACCACAGAGCCTCTCTGTCCAGGTTGTTCTTTCTGACCTTTCCAAAATGAATTCTCTTTCATCTTATCTCATGGATGTGACTCAATCTTTTCACCCGGGGGTGTGCACAGGGCTAATTCTTTAGGCCTCTGGGATTCACTCAGGGGCTGCTATTGGTACAAAATAGACACACACACTGAGAATGACATCAGCTTTGGGTTCTGAGGCTGCACAGCTGGATACGTGGGGCTTAAGATGAGCAGGGAGCTTGTGACACATCCGATGCTGAAGTCACCGATTAAGGACTGTGAGCTTCCTCTCCTGCTCCTCACAGGTGCTGGGCCTCATGAGATTCAGAAGGGCCGGGTTATCTGTGGGGCTCTAGATAAGCACAGGGGGGGCTGGAGGAGGCCAGCACCGACAAGTCCTGCTTTTTTCTTACTGAGAAAGTTCTGAGTTTGACTGGGCACAGCCTCCTCATCCAGAGTCTGCAGACTATATTGTCCATGAATCCTGGCCATCTGGATCCCTTTCTGGGTTCCAGCCTGTGCTGGGGGAAAGCTGACTTGCCACCTGCTTCCTTGCTGTTCGGGACACACATGTATGTAGTCCTCGGAGCTGTTCTAGCCGCCCTGTGAGTGACAGCCAAGGGGAGGAAAGCCGAGGCACAGAGGACAGGAAGGAAGGAAGGAAGTGGTTGACTCCTGTGTGACGTCACAGTGTGCTTATGATGTCATGGGATCACAAACCCGTAAAGCTTTCTCTGCAAAAGAAATGATGGATGTTCCTTTAGCCAACATCACTACTGGGTAGATATTTAACATACTAGAGCTGAAGTATCCTAAATAATATGGGTACTATTTTCACCTGCTTTGTATTTCGGCCTTGCAAGTAATATTTAACCATTAGAGGAAACAGAAAACAGGAAAAAGAAAGGCACGATTGACTCTAATTTCATCGCATGTAAGTATTTCTCCTTTAACCTTGATTGTTTATGATTCACATTTTACTAAGCTCCTCCCCATGGTAAATCAGGAAGTATACTCAGTGCTGGGCCTGCACCCTTCCTTCACCTCCTCCAGATTCTCCAACCTCTATATTAGAAAACAAATCCATTTCAGATGAGCTCAGTGCTAGTGTCCCAGCAGTGTCCATGAAGGAGAGGACATCAGGCATTGTCTGCAGATTAAATGCACAGCACACTGGACTGTCGAGAGGAAGGCGGCTCATGCTTATGTATACGCACAGAAAGTCGCTTGTTTACTTGCCTCTTGAATTTCCAGCGCAGCTCTTTGGAGGTAGACATGCTGAAGGCCCTCAGTTTAATAGCCAGATAATCCAATCACAATGACAGGCAAGCCTTCAGAAAGACAAAGATCTCTTCACACTGAGGACTTAGCTCGGAATGGTAATGAATGCCCATGCGGAGGCTTTTCAGAGGCTGCTGGCTGCACACGGCGGAGAAAGCTCCTCGCTGATAAGAGGGAGACTTTGGGTCACTGCCACCGCTAATTAAGTGTCCTCGCCAGAAAGCGGAGACGTACACTGGTGCCACTGGGAATATCTGATTCTCACACAATACATAAACAAACGCAGAAAAAGAAAGGGAGGATTTTAAAGACTTGCCTGTTACACTCTGTTGATGTCAGTGAGACCTAAAATAGTTGGCCCCATGTATTATTTTGAGGCGCCATTATGAAAATGAGGCTGGGCTTGACAAAAAGCTTAAATTGTGCTTTTGTAGACTTTTTAAACTTGTATGTGGCTGCACTGTTGAATTTTCATTATGTCAGTCTGTGTTTGTGAGGACAGAGCTTATTTAGCAAATGTAATAGTGGAACAGTCATGGCAGTTAGAACAGAGAAAAGTACATTTGGCCAAGATCGATCCATGCTAAGTGCAGACGTTCCTTTGTCACTAGACTAGATTTGGGCATTCACTTATGAAGTTTTAATATGCACACATCTTCTTAAACGATCTTTGTGTGATCTGAAATTAGCTGATTAATTTCTTGCCACAGGGACCTGTCAGTTCTCCTCAGCTGGTATATCCTGACTAGTAAGCAGAGAACAATAACTCACTATTATCTCTGAAGATTTGCTTGAGTCTACAAAGCTGTCATAGTTGATTATTTCTTCCCTGTGGCTAAATTAGTCAATATGAGTGGTGTTGTGCTACAGTAACAAACACTCCCAAATCTCAGTGACCCAACATAATCAAGAATGCTTGGTTTTTCACTCTTACATTCATTCCACATCAGTTTAATTCCAGGAACTCTGCTGTACAACTTCTTCACTTAGAACCCTAACTGCTAGAACAACCATCATTTGAGACATTATCAGATACCATGGAAGAGACACGGTGAGTGTGTTGACTAGCTCCCTGACATTAACAACTGCCACCTGCACTAACAAATGATAGATTACAACGTTGGTCATAAATAACCCCCCTCCTTGAATCCATGACCTTGCAATGCAGCTTTGTAAGTCTCCATTAAGAGTAAGGTCTTGCTCCACTACTTGAACTGGGCTGGTTTCGAGACTTGTCTTGCCTCTGGGCACAGTAGCAGATGTGATATAATCAGTCTTGGAAGGTGGCTGTCATTAAAATTTGTCCTTTCTTCTGTTCCTACATCATGCCGCATCTATTCTCCCAGATGATGAGAATCGTGTAGCTCACTCGCTCCAGTTGCCGCAAGGGACACCCAGCAACACCACCGCACCTTTGGGTGAGCCTGTGTGAGAGGTGGGTCTGCCAGTTGCCCACAGATGCTGAAATGAGACCATGCAGGGTCTGTGGAGCCTGGCTCAGCTCAGCAGAATGTTGAGGAGACTCAAAGAGCTCTTAAGCCCATTGAAACTCCTAACTTTGGAGAGAGTTTGTTATGGAGTCATAGACAAGTGACACATAACACATCATTTCTATTCAACTTTCACCCATGAAGAAAAGTTGCACGGCCACACTCAAACTCAAGGAGAATAAAAATATGATAGTACACTATTCCCAAAAGAACAGATGGGTGTACTGGCTGTGACACAGTCAGAGGCAATCAGAGGGACAGAGGACAAACTCCTGGGCTTTTAACCCATTGCTCATGGAGAGCAGCATCTATGCTTTCTGAGGTAGGCAGAGGTTAAAAGTGGTTCTTGCTAAACCTCAGTGGCTCTTCATTTGGCCTACAAATGCCCACCAGTTAACTGAGAGACCTGCCTCCTTTATTTATTAAAACTTTTGAGTTAGATCCTTGCTCAGCTCTGATAGACGTAGGCTAATCATTTAGGAAGCATCTGTCTAAAAGTAGGTGAAACAAGGGCGATTATCCCTGACTCATATAACCTGACTCATCCCTTTTCAAGACTGAGGAAACCACCACCAGAGATTTATAGGACCATCAGTGACAGTGGACACCTAGAAGTCTCTAGTTACTGCCTTAAACCTATGGTCACCTTGGGTTCTAACAGGACCTGCGTAAGATCCAGGCTGATCTAAACAGAAGCCATCAGCCCCTGGGGATGGAATCGTCCCTTTAAGCTGCAAGGATTTTTCCCAGAGCTACATTGATCAATCAGTCTCCAGCCTACCTCATCTAATCCATGAAAGCTCCTCTTGCTCTTTCATTAAGGGCCTGTCTGATCTTCTTTGTCAGAGCTGGGGCCCCTTCAGCTCCTCAAGCTGAAATCCTTTTCCTCTTTTCTCTTGATTTATTATAACTCTGCCTAATAAATCTGCCTATATCTCTCATGAAATTATTTTTCTGTGATGGTAAACCAAGAACCTACTCAGAGATGAACTGAGGTTCTCATCTACTGTTTGAGGAGTCTCATTGGACCTTGTCTGGTGAGAGCTGGACAGGAAAATCACCAACAAACCAAGCACATATAGAATCAGATTCCGGAGAAACAGAAAGCAAAACAAACTTACAAGCATCAGTAGTAGAAGCGAAAAGTCACACAGTCTGATCCCTGAGTCCAGCCTTGACCCATGTGGACAAAACTTCCCACCTCTCTGGTTATTCCACTTGTACAGAAGGAGATAGTGATTTTTAAACCTCAGAGTGAGTGTCAGTCTACGAACGTGGGTATGCATGTTTCTGTTTTGAGTTAACCTGGTTTCTAATTCAAATAGCCATCACTGAAAGCTGGCAGAAAGTTGAATTTCAGCCCTGGGCTGACTTTCAGCTCTGGCCCTGATCCAGAATCTGAAATGGTGCTGAGGAAGCTGGGACACCCCTCTGGTCCTTGGTCACCCAGATTCTTGCTGTGCTCTTACTTGATGTGTCTCTGAAGCTGCACATTAGGATATCTGCAGGAGGAAGGGATGCTTTGAGAGATATTATGTGGCTTTTCCACTGAGTCAAGTTCGTCATCCTGCCTGCCACTTAGAATCCTGTGGGGAGGGGCTGGGTGCACACTAGAGCCATCTGCGCTCCTTACTAGGCACCCCACTGTCCAAGGGCACTGAGAATTGAAATTAACTTGCATAAACGCATCACACTAAACACAAAGAGGATGCATGCCCAGGTCAGTGCTCCCTTAGCCCTGTGCCTGACATGTCCAAGCCACCGCAACATCACCTGTTTGGGGACCTGTGGCATCAGAGGTCAGACAAAAGGGTCCACAGGCCCTGTTGGAGAGCAATGAAAGTACCTTTTGCAAATTGCCTGGTAATGCATAAAACATCAAACATGTCTGAGGACCTCAGTTCATCTCTAGGCTTCTGGAGGCCTGCAGGGTCCAAGCAAGTGAAATGCTCCAACTCAAGCTTCATCAGTTGCACGGAAAAGCTGCTGCCCCTGGTCCTCAGAGAAGGTCCACTTCCTGTCCCTGCAGAGGTGTGGAGGAGAAGCAGCCCCACAGTGCCTGTGCTCCCTGGCTCCTCTCTTCCCTACGTCATTGGTGTAGAGCCTGTTTTTTTTTTTTTTTTTTTTTTTTTTTTTTTTTTACATTGGGAAGCAAAAGATCTTATGAAAAATGGAGAGTCTTTCTCTTTTTATCTCCTCAAAAACTCTACTCAGGTTTTGGGAGAAAGCATTTTGGCAGAGTGGGGCATCAAAGTACTGTGAGACCCTGTGACAAGTGGCATGGGGCATGAACTGAAGAGGCAGACTGCATGTGCTCAAGTCCTGGCCGTGCTGCTGACTAGCTGTACTCTCTTCTCTGTGCCTTGTTTCCCTGCTCTGTAACACAGGGTGGCAGTGGAGCCCTTACAGGTGTTAAATGAGTTAGCTAATCCTTGGGAAAAACTGAGAGCTGCTGTGACATGCACGCTTTGTTGTCCACTAGCTACCTAGAATATTAGTGAAGCACAGTTCTGGGTGTGTCTGGTGGGTCATGAAGGTGTGACGTTGAGGGCGATCCTTGGTGATCTCTTTCTCTCTGGGGCCTTTCTCTGCTCTGCCTCCTACTCACCGTGAGCTGACTGATGCTGTTCCATTACACCCTTCTGCCATGATGTTCTTGCCTTGGAGCAGCTGACCATGGACTGAATCCCCTGAAACCTTGAGCCATACGGAGCTTCTCTTCCTTTACGTTGTGAGTGTCTGGCACTGCGCTCCAGCGGCAGGAAAGCTGAGTGATGCAGCCGTGTCCCGCACATGGTGAGTGTGTGTGGTCACCCTCCTTATCTCTTAGGATCACCTGCTACAAAGCAAGTGCTGGACATGGAGACTGTGTTCCACTGGGTCCCTTGCCTTCTGCCAGGCAATAAGCAGAAAACTGGACCTGTGGGCAGGAAGTGGGAGAAGAAAGGGAACCTATAAGGAGAACATGAATTCAAAATTGATCACATCTCACAGTATTATTTTAGACACAGGTATATGAAGAAAATTTTCAAGGGATATTTCCTTTATAGCCCATACATTACAGGGACTTAAATCTATTTTTATGTAAAAACTACATATGTGGCTTGTTTGTCCATTTGCTCATTGGCCACCAGGAGTATCTGGAGGTTCTGAGCACATTTAAGGACTGTTTATTTCACAGGATTCCTCCCTCTTCCGTTTCTTCCTCCCTTCCACTCTTCCTTCATCTTTTCCTTCCTCCCTACACTTCCCCACCTCTTTCTTTCTCTTGTTTCCTTCTTCCCTTCCCCTTCGCTGGCTCCTTCCTTTCTTTTGCTTCTGTTATTTGGTATTCATCAAGAACCAGCAGTGCTGCTACGAATACAAGAAAATAGATTCCTCTGAGTGGCTTTTTTTCTCCTAAGTGATGATAGATTGCTTTTCTCCATGCAGTGAGGACCAGAAATTGAAACAGATGAAGCACATCTGGAGTGCTATCACGGCAAAGGATTCTGGCTCCATTCCACTGTCACATCTGGAGAACAGGGCACGAGGCGTGCTTGCGCCCCACAGCTAGACATGAGTCCAGAGTCATCTCCCCAGGTCTGCAGTAGGAATGGAGCTCTCGCCTCCTTGCATCCTGACTGCTCTTGGGCATTTGCTTGGTTTGCCCCATGTTTCACAGTTTGGCTATTGAGAGAGAAATAGCAAGTCAGTTCAGTGAATTTAGGGAGCCCAAATGAGGGAGAGGCAGGGGAAGGCTTCATCCTCACTGGAAATAAACAATGTGCCCCATGTTTCAGAAGGTTTTCTGAAAATGCATGAATAGCTGTAGATGCAAAACCCATCAGCACAGTGGGGTAGAGCTATGCAAGGTGTGTGCAACAGTACCATGAATCCAAAGGAGGAAAGATGGAAAGGACCATCCCAAGGCACAGCACAGGAAAACTGGTGACAAGGTCATTTGCTGTTCCACCAGCACACTAGAGTGGATCCAGAGACGCGTTTTAAGTACCTGCGGTATCTACGGAGATCTCAGAGCAGTCGTTTCCCGGCTCCCTGACTCCAGTAACTAAGCTCTGGGGCACTTGCTCTGGCCAAAGAAATCCTGATCTGTCCCCGAACTCAGTTCTTGTTGCTCTTCATTCTCTCACAGAGGGTAAAGCTTGACACCATGACGAATAAACATCAATATGGGTGATGACTGCAGCCCACCAGATGCCATCCCTTACAGAATAACCAATCCGCCTGCCAAGCATCCGTCAGAGGCCCGGCTCCTCCCAGCCTGCAGCTCCTCCATCCTGAGGGGCCTCCTCAGAGCCTGCAGGACACACACCTGTGGGGGTCACAGGCCAGGCCTGGACTTGGTGCCTGTCCCCTCTGCCCCTCTTCCTCAGCTAGATGCTGTCACAACTGCAAAGGAGACCAGAAATAGAGTTAGCTGTACACTCGGGAAGAAAAGCAAATAGCTTTGATTCAGTAAGTAACTCAGTGGCTAGTTAGTCTCTGCTCTTACAGCCTGTGAAGAAAACCGTGCATGCCACCTTCCAGCTTAATGAGGGGATGATTTAGATTTTCAAAGAGAAAAAGGAGAGGCATAAACATCTGCAGCCTGCTTCCTCCCTGGGGTGTGTTGCTGAGAATCTTGGCAAATGGTTCTGCTCATCATCAGGCTGGGGTAAAGAATCGTCTCCACAACAAGAGCATCATAAATGCTGCATGGGAAGAAACATTTACATTTTTCTCCTGAGACAGGCAAGAAAAAAACTGTATATTTGAAAAAAGTGTTCAATCAATGCACAAAATATCTCTTAAGGCTATGTTTCCCTGCACTACTGCCCTTGTATTCTTAAATAGAAAGGTAATCTCTACATCAAACAAAAAATATTCAGAATGTTAATCTCTTTACCAGGTCCCGCATTCAGAGGGTCTGCCTGGCATCCTCTTGTTATTACAACAAAACTTTATCATAAGTATGAAACAGAAAATGATGCTTACCATATGGTGGGCACTGTGCCATGTCCTTCATCTGCAATGGTCCTAAAAATCCTGTGAAAACCTTACACTGTCCATGCTGCAGATGGGAAAGCATAAGATCAAGTGTAGATGAGAAAATATAATAGAGCAAAGGTAAGAGGACTGGCCACATTCACCCAGGGAGTTTCATAAGAGGCAGAATGGGATGTGAAGTCTCCATGCCCGCTTTTCCCCACCAGGCTCCCTTTCCTGGCTTTTATTTTCCCACCCAGGTGGACACGCTGTAGGTAGTCTGCCCTCTCTACAGGAATATAGGTTCACCGAGCTGTGACCTTCCTGGGTTCCATGTGCATCTCAGCACCTGAGCAGGACTTGACACTTAGCTGTTGCATAAATGCTGAAGGTCACAGGCAAGAAAATGCCTCGTTCTCCAGATCCTCCTGTCTGCTCTTTCTGTACATTTTGCTTCGACTGTCAGCGTTTTCCGTATCCTTCCGTTATGTTGCCTTTATTTACTTTTTATTAATTGCATTACTACCTTTTAAAATTTCCATTTTATTTTTAATTGACAAATAATAATTGTATATCTTTCTAGGGTACAATGTGGTGTTTTAAAACATGTATAAAGTATGGAATAATTACATCAATCTAATTAGCATATCTACCCCTTAAACATTTACCATTTCTTTGTGGTGAGAATATTTAAAATCCTCTCACTTAGCTGTATAAAAATTTATAATTTATGCTTTTCTATGTGAGTCCCAGTCGCTTTCTACTTCTTGCAAACAAAGACTCAGATTCAGGGAAGCGTGTTATTTTAAGTAATGTTTGAGTTATTGGCTGTTGCAAACCAAGCTTTGCTCTTTGTGGCAGGGTTCTCGTAACTTAGAGTCTGCATTCACGGACTCACTTAGGTGATGAAATTTATATATTTACTTGTAGTCCTCAAACCAGTGCTGCTGGTGCTCATGCCCTCCTTTACGGTGTGCACAGAGCAGCCGAACACCCACGCTGTCCACTGCGCACACACCCAGCTGGGATCCGACAAGCTCAAAGACCACCTCCTTGTTTCTGCTCTGCTGCCACGAACAGGTGACCTTTTCTCAGCCTGTTCATTGACCATTTCTTTGCAGTATGGGACTTTCTCTTGGTGATTTCGCTGTTTAATATGGAACCCAAGTGCAGTACTGGAGAATCAGCTAGCCCAAAAAGGCAGAGATATGCCTTAAAAATATAAGAAGCTTCAGTCAAGTGTGAGTTACAGCGCTGAGGGCCATGAGTCCAATGCTGGTATCAATGAATCTAATCTATAGTATGGGAAAATGGTGTTTTTGAACAGAAACACAACTAAGACAGGGAGATGTATTGATTGATGGATGAAAACCTTGTGATAAGAGCCTTGCTAGTACCTATCTCTGCATCTCCTCTAGAAAATAAATGGCTCAGTAGTCAATAATGCCGTGCCCAAGGTGACTGTACGGAGCAAAACTCCCATGGGGGGCGCAGGCATCGGGGAGATGCTGGTCAGTGAGCACCAAATCTCAGTCCAATGGGAGGAATCAGCTCTGGAGACCTGGGAAATGCAGTTAAGGCACTGCAATTCTGAAAGCCGCTGAGAGTAGGCTTTCAGTGTTCCCATGACCCACACATAGATGAGAGATAGCAAAATGTTAAATAGCCTTATTTACTTGTAAGACATGATGTTTTACCATATATATAGAGAGAGTCCTTCTCAATTAGAAATACATTTTAAGGGGGCTGGGGATTTAGCTCAGCGGCAAAGCGCCTGCCTGGCAAGCGCAAGGTCGTGAGTTTGGTTCCCGGTACCGGAGAAAAACCAAAAAAAAAAAAAAAAAATTTTTTTAAGCCTGTGCTTTCAGTATTATATCCAAGAAATCATTGCCAAATCCAATGTCATGAAAGTTTCCTG